GAGGAGAGGCAGAGCCGCTCAACTGAACGGTGGCTTTGTTGACATCACATGATGGCTGTGATTGGACACAGTTGTCATATGATCAAAAGAGCCAATCAGAGAGCCCTTCTGCCGAGCGCCGTTGCGCTGTGTCCAGGGGACAAGGGCACACCGAGAGCGTGCAGCTGCGCAGTCACAAGGATTCACGCGTGCCCATGTTCTGCAGGACATTCAGGAACATCCACTCAGGACAGCGAAGCTCCCACCTGGCCAGTTATGTGCAGTGGCCAGGTGGGAAGTGGTTAAAGAAGAACACCATTAAAACCAGCAACTGTTGAGAAAATGAACAGCTTGGTCAGGTCTTTGTATATCTATGCATAATGTACAGAATACAGGGGTCAGAATAAGTAAAAAACTAAACAACATATGGAGTGTAGCAGTCAGAATGAGAGCCACATTCACATCAGAGTCCTCCCTTACATCAGTGTCTCCAGAGTAAAACCACCAAACATTACATTCTGCAGAGTCCCCCTTAAATCAGAATCTAGAGTGCCCCCCTTACATCAAAGTCCAGCAGATTGACCCCTTACATCAGAATCCAGCAGAGTGCCCCCTTACAGAGTTTAGCAGAGTGCCCTCTTACATCAGAGTTTGGCAGAGTGCCCCCTTACATCAGAGTCCCGCAAAGTGCCCCCTTACATCAGAGTCTGGCAGTCAGAGCCCAGGACAAAGGGATTTTGTACGGTCACTTTTCTCTTGTCCATGAACATTTGCAGATTGGAGATAAGTCTCTTTTTTATACAAACTGTCTGTAAATTTATGGATGGTTGGCAACACAGGATTGGGGTGTACACATACTGCCACTGTGAAGTTTTGTGGCCATTTAAGAAATTTTATCCTCTGTTGCTTTCTGTGGGCACAGTGCCTGCTGAATGTGACCCATTCAAGTGAATGAGGCTGCTCTGCAAACACCCCGCAACGGTGTGCAAAGCACATGGTTGCAGTGCACTAGTGTGGGGTTCCAGGGGTTAAAGCAGGTGGTGAGGAGGTTATACATCTCCTCACTACCTGCCAACTGCTTTCTGAAGAGTGATCTGAATGCAGATCGCTCTTCAGAGACCAAAGTTCATGTGCCAATCCCATAAAGGGATGCTGGGGCTGGGCAGGAAGAGGTTAAACAGAAGCATCACACACTTTTGAGTAATAACTCCATCAGTTTATCCAGCTTTCAGATTGTCAGCCATCCCCAATAATACTAAAGTTGTCCCTGTGTGTTAACATGAACAGAGACGGGTAGGGAGACAGATGGGGGAGAGAGGGGATGGGGAGAGATGGGGGGGATAGAGAGAGGAGAGGAGGGGAAGAGAGAGAAGGGGGGAGAGAAGGGGGAGGGGATGAGGGGGGAGAGATGAGGGGGTGATAAAGGGAGGAGATAGAGGGTGGAGAAGGTGGGGAGATAGGGGGGGGGAGAGATAGAAGGGGGAGAGATAGAGTGTTAGGGACCAACCGGCTGTAACCTCTAGCGCCCCACATACCAGAATTCCCCAGGGAGCGGAATCTAAGCTCCGACCTGTTTGTTCACCAGAGCCCCTGATGGTGGGGATGGACTTGGAGCAGGACGAAACCAGGTCGCGGCCCCTGGGTACAACCAGCTGCGGTAGTGGTACCTGCCAGTGGTACGTAACAGGTGAGAGCCTGATGTGAAGAGGTGGAGGGAAGCGAAGTCAGCCAAGCCAGGTCAGTAACAGTGGAGGCGTAACAGTACAAAATCAGCAGGCAAAGGGATAAACGGGTCACAAGCCAGGTTCGGTAACAGGATGTCAAAACGTATAGGAGCAGACAGAAGAATGGTCGGACGAGCCAGGAATCAGAGCAGGAGATGGTCACCAGAATCAGGGTCAGGCAGGGTCGGCAACAACGCAATCTCACAGGATACAGCAGGAAAGACCATAAGGCAATTTGAACATTGCACTGGCCAGTTTAAATAGCCCGCCCGGATCCGACAGGCGTGTCTGGGTCCTAGTGCCTGCCTGGTGCTGTCATTGGTGACAGGCGCGCCTGGGTCCTAGTGCCCGCCTGCCTATAAGTCTTGTCGGGATCCTAAGCACTCGCAGATTCGCGCGTCTAGGTAAACCGCACCGTGGCGAACCTCGGGAGAGAAGGGGGCAAGATAGAGGGGGAGAGAAGGTGGGGAGAGAAGGGGGGGCAAGATAGAGGGGGAGAGAAGGTGGGGAGAGAAGGGGGTGAGATGGGGGGGGGAGAGATAGGGAGAGTTCAGCTGTAGTGCAGAGCTCCCTCACCCAAGTTGGTCTCTGCAGGCTCACACAGAATAATCAATCCTGCAGCTACCATGTAGTTGGCTGCAGTGCCTCAAATTTCCCGGCTGTATATCTTTTTAGGTACATCACTGGCCGGGAATTGGAGTGTGGGCATGGCAGACAGGAGGAGAGGGGTGGGAGGAGGCAGAAGGGGAAGGGGGAGTGTGCTGTTTGGGCTATGTAAGCCGCTGCAGACAGTTTCTCTTGCTGAAAAAAGTCCACGGGTTGCCGGGGGGGGGGGGGGGGGGGGGGGTGCCCTCCTCTGTTACCATTTTTTTTTAGGTGTCAGGAAAACTCATCAGAAATGTCTCATGTTGATAGTACTGCAGCCCGGGGTCCGGATGTGGCCCTTTCCTTGCTTTTATCTGGCCCTTGGGGCATTACTCCTCCCACTGATACCAATGAAGGGGCACTATTCCTTCTACTGACACTATTGATGGCGCACTATTCCTTCCACTGACACCAATGATGGCACACTTTTTTTTCCCACTGATACCAATCATGGGGCACTATTCCTCCCACTGACACAATGATGGGGCACTATTCTCTTCACTGACACCAATAATGGGGGACTATTCCTTCCACTGACACCAATGATGAGGGACAATTCCTTGCACTCACACCAGAGATGGGGAACTTTTCCTCCCACTGATATCATTTATAGGGCACCATTCCTCCTCCTGATACCAATGAAGGGGCACTATTCCTCCCACTGATACCAATGATGGAGCATTATTTTCCCCATTAATTTTGGGGCATTTTATACTCTCATTGACACCAGAGTATTTTTCTACTTACACTGCCCCCCTCAAAGTCTGAAGGACATTAAATTGGCCCTTTGTTTAAAAAGTTTTGTAGACCCCTGCTATAGAGGGATATACATTGTTTATGTCTGAAGTTTACAACCACTTTAACCGCTTCACAACCGCCCTATAGCAGAAATACTGCTACAGAGCGGCACGGGCGCACAAAATCATGTATATACGTAATTTTGCATTTCCAGGTAGGGGGCATGCACCCTACCCATGCAACCATTGGCGGCCGCAGCTGTCAATCACCGGGCCCCGCCCAGTAATTACCCGAAGGTGCCCAGTTATTACCGAGCATCTCCGAAGGGAAAGAAGACTGTTTTGTTTACAAACAGTCTTCCTCCCTGTCAGCTCGGGCACACTGCTCAGGATGGCTGTGAACAGTACAGCCATCCCGATCAGTGTGCTTACAGTGAAGCACACCCCCCAACCCCTAGTAAAACACTCCCTACATATAGTTAACCCTCTCATGTTAACCCCTTCCTGCCCAGTGCCATTAGTACAGTGTCAGTGTTTTTTTTTTTTTAGCAATTATCACTGTATTGGTGTTACTGGGTATGTCAGTGACACCAAGTTAGTTCCCCCCCAGTGTCAGAATGTCTGCCGCAGTCCCTCTAAAAGTCGCTGATCGCCACCATTACTAGTAAAAAAAAATTCCCAGTATCTATACCGCCATTTTACGGAAATCAATTAATTTACACGGATTGGGATTTTTTTTAGGAAAGACATGTAGCAGAATACATTTTGGCCTAAATTTATGACGAAATTGTCGGCCTTTTTTTTATAGTGCAAAAAATAAAAAATGCACAGGCTATCAAATACCACCAACAGAAAGCTCAATTAGTGGGAAAAAAGGACATAAATTTAATTGGGTGCAGCGTTGTACATCTGTGCAATTTTCAGTTAAAGTAACGCAGTGCTGGCCAGGAAGGGGGGTAAAACCTCAGGAGGGCACGTGTAAAGTCAAATTCTATGTGAATGTATTATTTTTATTATTTTTATTGTGTTTGTAAGATTATTGTTGTTGCACCCAAATAGTCCCAGTCTTTATTCCTAGTTGTATTCTTAGTGCAATGATGGATGCGGTGCCATGACCAAAATACTGGTCCAGATACACATAATTATAGCTGACCAAGGCTGGCTGTACACTATACAATCTGATTGTACAATCTTTTTACATCTACCTACAACTATGTAGTGTTAGGGCCTGCCTGAATGAATGTAAATTGATTCAGTAGATCAGGTTATGTCCTCATATTACACAGTTTGGTAGATTCAAAGTTGATTGTATGGTCAGCTTGTAATGTGTATGGTGACCCTAAGCGCAATGTCAAAAAAAATATTGCCGCACTGTGATTTCTCTTTCAATTAAAGGGAAAATAAACACTCCAACAACATTAATAAATGTTATTCTTACGCTGCTAGCATTAGTAAATATATTCATTTTACTTATTTTAAAGTTTTGTTTTTTTTTATCTTTTCTTCACTCACTTCTTTGCTAAGGCCAAAATGATGTTATATGTCCCAGGAGCATTTTTTCTCTGGAGGAGGGGCTTTCCCAGCTAAGCTCACTCTCCTGCCTGCATGCCTGAGTTAAGGGCAGATGGATTCCAGGAAGTAAATGCTAAATGTATCATCTGCCCCTCAAGATGACCACAGCTAGAAAAGCTAGAGTGGGTGTCTTCTAAGTGCATTCTCAATAAAATAAACTATGGAGACATTGGTGGATGGGGGAGTTATCTTTGAATATTAACCGCTTCACGACTGCCCTATAGCAGATATACTGCTACAGGGCGGCACAGGTATGCAAGATCAAGTATATTAATGTGATTTTGCATCTCCGGGTAGGGAATTGAGCGAGAGGTGCGTGCGCGCCCTACCTGCACCGCCATTCGCCAAGCATCTCTGACAGGGAGGAGAACTGTATGTAAGCAATATAGTTCTCCTACCTGTCAGCTCATGCACACTGCTTTGGATGGCTGTGCACAGCACAGCCTTGCAAAGCATTGTGATTATAGTGAAGCACAGACACAGACACAACTAAAACAGCTCACAGTTAACCCTTTGATCGCCCCTCATGTTAACCCCTTCCTGCCCAGTGCCATTAGTACAGTGTCAGTGCTTTTTTTTTTTTAGCACTGATCACTGTATTGGTGTCACTGGGGTTGTCAGTGACACCAAATCAGTTCACTCCAGTGTCAGAATGCCCATCACAGTCCTGCTCTAAGCTGCTGATCACCACCATTACAAGTAAAAAATAAATAAAAATAAATTCCAAAATCTATACCGCCATTTGTAAATGTTAAACCTTTCATGTTTAATGTACACGCTTTTGGATTTTTTTTGGCAAAGACATGTAGCAGACTACATTTTGGCCTAAATTTCTGACAAAATTAGTTTAAATTTTTTACTGGATATGTTTTATAGCAAAAAAGTAAAAAATATTGTTTTTTTTTCCAAAATTGTTGGTCTTTTTTTTTGTTATAGCGCAAAAAAATAAAACGCACAGGTGATCAAACACCACTGAAAGAAAGCTCTATTTGTGGGAAAAAAGGACGTAAAAATTCATCTTGGTTCAGCGTTGCATGACTGCGCAATTGTCAGTTAAAGGAACGCAGCGCCATAACGCAAAAAATGGCCTGGTCAGGAAGGTGGGGGGATCCTGTGGAGGGCAAATTGTTTAAAAATGCTGTTTTTGGTACATGATATCAGTCCCACCACAATAAATATTGTGCACAGGTGAGAAGCATATTAAATGATTGTGTATATTATGGGGCGTCAGTCTAGCAGAGGCAGTACTAACATCACGCCACTAGGGGGCGCTTTGATCTCGCAGAAACATAGCACAGACAGCACAAGCAGCAGGCAAGTGCGAGCAGAGAACCGGAAGTGGAGAGGCCTTGGGGGTCCCACACTAAACGAGGTCCGTACACACAGGAGCCCCGCGGTCAGTGTTCCCTGTGTCAGAAGCATGGGCTCGTCTATTAGAACATACCGTGCCCTCTGTGCTACCGCTCCCCATACCACCCATGTCATGGTGACTTCTTAGAACGCTGCATGCTCTGCACTGTCCGGGGTGTCCTGAAGAGGCAGAGAACCTGAGTCTACAAATATGAGAGATGCCATTGCTGCTTTGTTTTGGGTGGGAGGGTATCTTTATGAATCCTTTAGGCTGCGTTTACACCTGCATGTTCAGCCTCATTTAGGGTGCAAAAATATATGTTTGAGCTGCGTTTTTGCTGCCCGCTAAATGCCACCAATCTTAGGCTGCAATAGTCAGCAAAGGGGATGTTTACATGCCATCACCACAATGCTTTGCAACCACGGTTAAATTGACCCAACGTAGCAATTGGTGAGCGGCAAGCCCACCAGACACTACAATTGCAAGTCTATGGGAAGCAGTGCAAACGCATGCAGTGCACGCAGTTACTGCTCAATTGTTACTAAAAATGGGGTTAAAACAAGTGGTGAGGTGTTGCAGTATTTCCTCACTGCCTGTCAGTAGCCTTTGGAGCGTGATCCGAATGCAGATCAGGCTTTAGAAGCATATATAAAATAAAGAAAAGTGAGCGGCAAATGCACAAAAAAGGAACTACAAGCCCTTCCAACCAGAATAGAAACAATATAAGTGCAGCGCTACAAATAATATCCAAGTGACAATTATATACGATCATCAAATATAAGAATATTAAAGATGATAAACAGTTCAGTGATGGGGGACTAGCAGGGAGTGTAGGTGTAATCCAATCCCAGGAATAGATAAATTGCCTGCTTACCAGAAGCGCAATTATAATACGCATGTACAGGTTTCATGTAGCCGGGGTCCCATGTAGGCGCTGCTTTATAGTACCCAGATGGTCCGTCGGTGGTAAGACGATGCTGGCCTGGTCGGATCACACTGCTCCTTGGATCCACACAGAGAACCTAAAAATGCTGGGGCTGAGGTATGGGAACTCCGTGCCAGGTATAAGGAGTAAAAATACTCATAGTGTAGTATGTTTTAAAAATATTTATTAAATCCAATACGTAAAACCATAGAAGTTACAAAACGCATGCCTGCAGCCTGTAGCCAGTATAAGCAGCTTGAAAAAGAGATTCTATACGCTGACCAGTGAAAACCATAGGTGGGCCGCCGGATCTCCTGACCCGGCGGCGTAACGTCAAGGCGTGCGAAGGCTCCTCCTAGACGCGTTTCGTGTCAATACACGTCTACTGTAGGGGTGATGCCATCCTGGGATTGGATTACACCTACACTCCCTGCGAGTCCCCCATCACTGAACTGTTTATCATCTTTAATATTCTTATATTTGATGATCGTATATAATTGTCACTTGGATATTATTTGTAGCGCTGCACTTATATTGTTTCTATTCTAGGCTTTAGAAGCAAGGGAGATTTATAGGGTTGCACTGATACATTTGTGGTGCGATATGAGCACATAAAAAATGAATGCATTGCGATTCCTGTTCAATCCAATGCGGTTGCAATTTCAGCCATTTATTTTGTATGGCTCAAATTGCACTGCGAATTGCGCCGCAAGGAAACTGCATGTGATTTAGACAGGAATCACACCACATTCTGTTCAAATCACATACGATTCTTTGCAGTGCGATTTGAGCCCATTCATTTTGTATAAGCTCAAACTGCACTGCAAAGGTATCAGTAATTGGTATTGGCCAGTAATTGAGCACAAGTATTGGTACTCGTACTCGCCATTATAAAAACGGTATCAGTGCAACCACTTGCCCTCCAGAGGATTTACCCCCCTTCCTGACCAGGCCATTTTTAACATGGCGCTGCATTACTTTGACAATGGCGTGGTCATGCAACGCTGCACCCAAATGAAATTTACGTCTTTTTTTCCAGAAAGAGCTTTTTTTCAGTGGTATTTGATCGCCTGTGCGTTTTATTTACTTTTTGCGCTATAAAAAAAAAATGACAATTTTGAGAAAAAAACTGTATTTTTGACATTTTGCTATAAAACATGTCCAGTAAAAAAATTTTAAGAATCAAATTTCGTCATAAATTAAGACCAAAATGTATTTTGGAACATGTCTTTGCTAAAAAAAAATCCCAATATGTAAATTAATTGGTTTACATCAGTGTTTCTCAACTCCAGTCCTCATGGACCCCCAACAGGTCATGTTTTCAGGATTTCCATTATTTTGCACAGGTGATTTGATCAGTTTCACTGCCTTAGTAATTACCACAGCTGTTTCATCTGAGGGAAATCCTGAAAACATGACCTGTTGGGGGTCCATGAGGACTGGAGTTGAGAAACACTGGTTTACATGAAAGTTTACAAATGGCGGTATATATACTGGGATTTTTTTAAAATATTTTTACTAGTAATATCCGTGATCAATGACTTATAGCGGGACTGCAGTAGGCATTCTGACACGGGAACTGACTGTCACTGACATCTCCAGTGACACCAATACAGTGATCAGTGCTAATAAAAAGCACTGACACTGTACTAATGGCACTGGGCAGGAAGGGGTTAACATGTGGGGTGATCAAAGGGTTAACTGTGTGGTGTTCTACATAGTGTGCTATGCACAGCCATGCAAAGCAGTGTGCAGGAGCTGACAGGGTAGAGAGCTGTATTGTTTACAAACAGTTCTCCCCCCACCCCCATCGGAGATGCTCGGCAATCATCGGCCGGGACCTGGCGATTGACATCCATGGCGGCGCGGGTAGGGCGCGGGCATTCCCCCTACCCGGAACTGCAAAATTGCATACATATACGTGATTTTGTGCACTCATGCCGCCCTGTAGCAGTACTTCTGCTATTGGGTGGATGGAAAGCGGTTAAACATGTCCAAACCTATTCTGGAAATGTGTGAAAAGTATTGCTTGCGATTCTTAATGGCATCGCAAACATGGGCAACAGATGTGCAGTTAAAAAAAAAAATGCAGAAGTTCTATACCGAAAAAGGTGCAGGACCTTCTTTGGTATGAGTAGGGTAGTCTATTCAAGTGAATGGACAACCCTATGCACGTTGCCAGAAAAAAAAAAACAGGTGCATTCCCACTATGCTAGGTGTGAATGGTGTATTAAGTGTATGTCTAGCTAAATTATTTTATTTTGGTTTGGCTAAATGGGGGAAGGGTTAAGTCTCATAGACACAACTGGAAGTTAGATGAACTTTCCCAAAGTTTTCTGTCCTTGCTGCTTCTTCGCCAGCCCAAAGCAGTGCTCTTCTGATTAAATGAGCGATGATGATGTCAGAGACAAATTTTGCTTAGAAACTATAAATGAAGGGTGCCGAGGCGATGCCTTCTTAGGAGGGAAGGGCCATGACACCCATTCATTCATACTACGCACCATATTTGCAAGATGCATGGATGGGGGGGGGGGGGGCATTAGGAATTAATGACACCCGCATGCATCTGCAGACGGCAACATGGCGGCAACATCCTGTGCATTATGGGAAAAACACGCTGCAGTTGTGAACTGGCCTTTAAAGTTTTAGTTCACCTTCACAGAAAAAAATGCAAAGGTGAACCAACACTGTACACCCAAATGTACACCTTAGAGTTGAGTGGAAACAGATGTAATCCTTTATACAAAATAATACACTGTACCAGTTGGTGGTCAGTGCATTCCCCAAAACTTTCAGAGGGCCACACAATAGCAGCGCATTCTTTTACATTGAGGTGCATTGCATTATAATTCACCTCGATGCCCAAAAATGCAAGTCCTGCTGCGTTTTTTTTTGCAGCATATTCGAATGCACACTGAAGAAATTGGAGTACAATAAGCTCAGCAATGGTGTCAGTGACAGTAAAAAAACAAAACACAGTATTGATGTCAGTGGATACAAAAAATAACCCCCACCATTTGTGTCAGGGAGTGAAATAATAATCCCAAATATTGGTGTCAGCTGCTGTAATAGTAGCCCCCAGCACTGATGCCAGTAATATTAACTCCCCCCCCCACACACGCACACACACACACACACACAATGTTGGTCTTGGCAGTGAAAGTTAACCCCCCAATCTCCCCAGCATTGGTGGGTATGGCTGTAGAAGTTAACCCTCCCCCTCGCTTTGGTGCCAATAACAGTAAGTAACCCCCCAGAATTGGTGGGCATAACAGTGAAAGTTGAACTCCATCTCCCTCCAACATTGGTGGTCATGGAAGTAAAAGTTACACCCCCTCTCCCCCTTTCCATTTGTGGTCATGTCAGTGAAAGTTAACCACCCAATTCTCCCCTCTTCCTGCATTGGAGGTCTCGGCGGTGAAAGTTGACATATTTCTATTAGGGGTCGAAGATGCAAACTGCGAATTAGACATATGCAAGAAAAAGTAGTCACACATGCTTACTTCTTCCCTTGTAACATATCTTTATTTCTATTTAAAGGGAAACTTTACATAAAATGGTACCAATAGCTGGTGCAGAAATGGTGCATAAACCTCTACAGCTTTATCGGTACCTTCTTCGTTGTTGTAAGCAGCTTCCAAATGAGAATCTCCAGCATTATTACAAGCATGCAGTACGACAGGTATGTTTTATTGTGCAGAAGCTCAGATGTATAACAATTCCTATTAAAATGTGTACATACAGTTAGGTCCATATATATTTGGACACGGGCACAATTTTAGTTTTTTTCAGGTATTTACCAAGACATATTCAAGCTATAGTTATATAATGGATATGGGCTGAAAGTGCACACTCTCAGGTTTAATTTGAGGGTATGGACATCCAAATTGGAGAAAGGGTTTAGGAATTACAGCTCTTAAGTGTAGCCATCCCCCTTTTTCAAGGGACCAAAAGTAATTGGACAATTGAATCAAAAGCTGTTTCATGGCCAGGTGTGGGCTACCCCTTCGTTATTTCTTCATCAATTAAGCAGGTAAAAGGTCTGGAGTTGATTCTAAGTGTGTTTTTTGCATTTGGAATCTGTTGCTGTGAACCTTCATCATGCGTTCAAAGGAGCTGTCCATGCAAGTGAAACAGGCCATTGTAAAGCTTCAAAAACAAAACAAAATCCATCAGAGAGATAGCAGCAACATTAGGAGTTTGGTACATTGTGAGGAAATAACGCACTGGTGTGCTCACCAACATAAAGAGGCATGGACATCCACAGGAGACAACAGTGGTGGATGATCGCAGGATCCTCTCTATGGTAAAGAAAACCCATTCATAACATCCAGATAAGTGATGGACACTCTCCAGGAGGTGGGAGTATCATTGTCAAAGGCTACAATAAAGAGAAGACTTCATGAGAGCAAATACAGAGAGTTCACCACAAGGTGCAAACCATTCATAAGCCTGAAGAATAGAAAGGCCAGATTAGACTTTGCCAAAAAACATCTAAAAAAGCCAGATCAGTTCTGGAAAAGCATTCTTTGGATGGATGAAACTAAGATTAATCTGTACCAGAATGACAGGAAGAAAAAAGTGTGGAGAAGACTTGGAACAGCTCATGATCTAAAACACACTACATCAGTGTTTCTCAACTCCAGTCCTCATGGACCCCCAACAGGTCATGTTTTCAGGATTTCCCTCATGAAACAGCTGTGGTAATTACTAAGGCAGTGAAACTGATCAAATCACCTGTGCAAAATAATGGAAATCCTGAAAACATGACCTGTTGGGGGTCCATGAGGACTGGAGTTGAGAAACACTGCACTACATCATCTGTAAAACATGGTAGAGGCAGGGTCATGGGATGGGCATGTATGGCTTCCAGTGGCACTGGGTCATTGGTGTTTATTGATGATGTGACAGAAGACAGAAACAGCCAGATGAATTCTGCAGTGTGTACAGATATACTGTCAGCCCAGATTCAGCCAAATGCAGCAAAGTTGATTGGACGGCGCTTTACAGTACAAATGGACCATGATCCAAAACACACTACAAAAGCAATCCAAGAGCTTTTGCAGGAAGAAAAAAGAAGTGGATTCTGTAATGGCCAAGTCAATCATCTGATCTAAACCCAACTGAACATGCATTTCACTTGCTGAAGAAAAAACTAAAGGCATAAAGACCCGCAAACCATGAACAACTGAAGACAGCTGCAGTTAGAGCCTGGCAAAGCATCAGAAAGGAGGAAACCCAGTCTTCGGTAATGTCCATGGGTTACAGACTTCAATCAGTCATTGCCAGTAAAGGATTCTCAACAAAATATTAAAAATGAACATTTTATTCATGATTATATTTAATTGTCCAATTACTTTTGGTCCCTTGAAAAAGGGGGCATGGCTACTCTTAAGAGCTGTAATTCCTATACCTTTCTTCTGATTTGGATGTACATACCCTCAAATTAAACCTGAGAGTGTGCACTTTCAGCCCATATCCATTATATAACTATAGATATGAATATGTTTTAGTAAATACCTGAAAAACCTAAAATTGTGCCTTTGTCCAAATATATATGGACCTAACCGTATGAAGGAAAATCAATAAAGTTTTGGAAAAATATGCTTTTCAGCCTAGGGATGCATAACTCGAAACACCTGTTCTTGGGCCCCTTGCATGCAGGCAGTCTTATCAGATCCTCCTGTCCGTTTTTCAGGTGGATCTGATTGGAAGCTAGTTTGTGGGCGTCCAGATGAAAATGGGCTTGCATCCACTTACATTTGAGCCCATCCAGGTTCGATGGTAAAATTGGAAAAGGTCTGTGTCCCTTTCTATTTTTTCAGAGCTAAATGTGATGGATTGGATGTCCTGTCCACTTGAAAAATGGACAGGCGGACCTGATTGGTCCGCCCGTGTGAAGGGACCCTTAGTGAAATACTTTTTTGCTGATGGTTTCAAGGTTACTATGTGAGAGATCTACTAAAACCAGTGCGCACAGAATCTGGTGCAGCTGCGAATAGTAATCAATCAGTTTCTAACTTCAGCTTGTTCAATTAAGCTTTGACAATAAAACATAGAAGCTGAATGGTTAGTATGCACAATCGCACCAGATTGTGTGCTCCAGTTTTAGTAAATCTTCCCCTATGTGCCCACCTTTGCAAAGCTCGCAAGTCAACTGATGCATAGCTAGTAATAATATTACTAAAGTATTTTCTTCCATTGTTGAAAGCAACATTAGAAATAATATGCATGCTTGCATATAACCGAGCAAGACAGTTTTTTTTAAGTCACTTGTTATAATTTAAAATGTATGTTGGACAACATTGAATTATTAAATGTGCTTTCTAACAGAGTTTTCAAGTTCATGCTGATGAGGATGATCCAGAACGAATACAGCAGATCATTAAAAGAGCCATAGAGGATGCTGATTGGGTGATGAATAAGGTGTGTGGAAGAAAATCCTAAACTAAAGCCTGAGTTTTGTTTTTGAAATAGGTTTAGTCACACCAGTCAAAAAATAGGCATTGAGATACAGACAAGGAGCACAGCCTATCTGCTCAGTATTTGTTTTCCACGCATTAACACACACATGGTGAACGGGCAGATGATGGGTGCTACACCTTTCTTAATGCAATGCACTGCCACTCACAGATTGTTTATATCTCTGTTCTATTGTGCATTTCAATGCGTTAGCATGTTGGAGTGCTATTCAAAATGAATGGCAAAGCACTTTACTGCACTACACTTGTTGCTGTACGTTTGTGGTAAAGCATGGCAAAATGCGCAGTTTAGAGTGTGTCAACACAGTGCGCTGGTGTGAACAGGCTCTTAGTCTAGTGCACCAGCCCACCCCATTCCCAAGTGAAGTGCAATAACCCTTAGCAACTTGGCACCTATCAGTGTACTGTAGTTAGATAATGAAAAAAATAGAACTTAATTCCTTGTCATCAGTTACTGCACGTTACAGTAGATATTGCATTTTGTACTCATATACAAAGCGGAACTAAACCCTGCTACTTTTTACAGCCCAGGAAACTGCCATCTTTGCCTCTGTTTTATCTGCAGTTGCCATTATGCTGCACATATGACACCAGGCATTTTAAAGCCTAGTATACACGATGAGAAAATCAGATGAAAAATAAAATTTTTGGAACAATTGTCCAATAATCTGATCATTCGTATGTAGCTTTCGGGAGCTGATCATGACAGTTCATGCAAAATTATCCAAAGGGACAAGCACAAAAAAATTTCTTGTACAATATCAGAACGAACAATTTTTTTTTTAATCGATACAGTATTTGTCCAAAAAAAAATGAGCGACCAAGACCATGGATGCTCAGAAACTAAAGAATACATTACAATTTAATACTTTAGAAGTTGTATTCTGTCAAATGAAAATTTTTGTAACTTTAGTGACATTCATTTTCGATAAGAGACTATCATGCAAAAATAACCCAGACGATCATTTGTTCGATATTCTCATTGTGTGTAAGAGGCTTTTAGGCTTAACAGTTTGTTTGAGAGCTGACAAAAGCACACTAGCAACTGTAACATTTATCATTCAAGGCATGCCTTGAATGTAACTGTTTTGAAAAAGTTACATTGGTGGGTTTATGTCTGCTTTAACCACTTGCCTTCCTGAGGATTTACCCCCCTTCCTGACCAGGCCTCTTTTTGCTACTCGGCGCTGCACTAATTCAACTGATAATTGCGTGGTCATGCAATGCTACACCCAAACAAAATTTACGTTCTTTTTTTCACACAAATAGAGCTTTCTTTCTATGGTATTTGATCACCTGTGCGCTTTTTATTTTTCATGCTATAAATAAAAAAAAGACCAAAAATTTTGAAGAAAAATTTATATTTTTTACTTTCAGCTATAAAAAATATATAGTAAACTCAGAGTTAATTATAAATTTAGGCCAAAATGTATTCTGCTACATGTTTTTGGTAAAAAAAAAAAAACTATGGTATAGATACTGCAATTTACGCCATTTTTTTGCTATACAGCGCTGAGCTAGTTTAACGGACAATTGCACGGTCATGGAATACGGTACATAAATTAAATTTATGTCCTTTTTTCACACAAATAGAGCTTTCTTTTGGTGGTATTTGATCACCAGTGCACTTTTTAGTTTTGGAACTATAAACAGAAATTTTCTTTTTTTAAAAAAAACAATATTTTCTCATTTTATCATAAAAAATATCCAAAAAAACTAAACTTTTGTCATAAATTTAGGCCAAAATGTATTCTGCTACATGTTTTTGGTAAAAAAAATCCCAGTAAGTGTATATTTATTGCTTTATGTGAAAGTTGTAGCGTCTACAAACTATGGTATAGATAATGGAATTTACACAGCTTTTACTTTCTGACTGCCCATCACATTTCTTGAGGTAGTAAAATACCAGGATAGTACAAACACCCTAAAATTACCCCTTTTCGGAAAGTAGACACCCTAAGCTATCTGTTGAGAGGTATATTGAGGTATATTGAGGTATATTGAGTCCATGGAAGATTTATTTTTTTTCCACAAGTTTCTGGAAAATGACACATTTTTTTTTTTACACAAAGGTGTTAATTAAATGATTTCTTTCTCACACAAGCCATGGGTATATATGGAATTACACCCCAAAATACATTCTGCCACTTCTACCGACATATGTGAGACTTTTTTGGGAGCCTAGCCACATACAGGAGCCTGAAATCCAATGACTACTTTGAAAGCCTGAAGGTGCGTAACTTCCTCATTACACTTCCTCACTACCTATCACAGTTTCGAAGACCCTGAAATGCCAGGATAGCACCAAACCCCCCCAAATGACTACTTTCTGGAAAGTAGATACCCCAAGGAATTTAAAAAGAACCATGGTGAGTATTTTGCGGACCTCATTTTTTCTCACAAGGTTTTGAAATATAAAAAAAGAAAAGAAAAAATATGTTTTTGTTTTGTTTCTTCATTTTACAAAAACTTGTGGCAACAAATGAGATCTGCAAAATACTAATAGGTGGTCAAGAAGTGTAATGAAATAAAGCCCTTTAAAAGCCTTAAGGTGCTTATTGGGTTTTGGGGTCCTGTACTTGGCTAGACTGCCAAAACGTCTCTCTCACATGTGGTACCCCCATACTTGGGAGAAGTAGCAGAATGTATTTTGGGGAGTAATTCCACATATACCCATGGCATGTGTGAGCAGTAAATCATTTAAGTGACAATTTTGTATAAAAACAAAAAAAAAAATATTTTCAAAAAAAAAAAAATAAATTCTTCTATTGATTCAACATGCCCCTCAGCAAATAGTTTGGGGTGTCTACTTTCCAAAAAGGAGTCGTTTTGGGGAGTGGGGGGCGTTTTATGCCCAGCATTAGAAGTTTATGCCACACATCACTCACTCTTCTAACCACCTGAAGACCAAGCCTTTTCTGACACTTTTTGTTCGCATGAAAAAAATCAGTATTTTTTGCTAGGAAATTAATTTAAACCCCCAAACATTATATTTTTTTTAAAGAAGACATCCTAGTGAATAAAATGGTGGGTACTACAATTTTCTATGGCACATAGTACTCGTGCAGCAATTTTTCAAAAGCAAATTTAAAAAAAACACTTTTTTTATTTTTAATGCACTTTTATTACTTTTATGTGCCACAATATATTGGCCAATTATTTGGTAACATATAAAAGATAATGGTATGCGCTGAGTAAATAGATACCAAACATGACATGCTTTAAAACTGCATATGCATATCCATAGGCAACGCTTTAAAAGCTACCATTTTAGATTTACAGAGGAGGTCTAGTGTTAGAATTACTGCCCTTGATCTGACGTTCACGGCGATATCTCACATGTATATTTACATACCGGCACAGGGTCAACGCTTGTGCACACAGGTGTGCGCACATGGGAGGGGCGAGTTTTTTTTTAATTTTTTTTTTAAGTTATTTTGATTTTTTTATTATTTTTACACTGTAACTTTCATTTTTTTTTTTATCACTTTTAATGCTATCACAGGGAATGCAAATATCCCCTATAACTTCAATGGGCATTGTCATATATTCTTTTTTGAGAAATCTGGGGTCTATCAGACTCTAGATATCTCCTCTGCCCTTACATTATCTAATCAAACCAAAATCGGTGTGATCAGATGCTTTCCCAATTTACAAATGGCGCTGTTTATATTCTGCAAAACTGAAGTGATGAAATGCTTGTAGCTTCCAAATTCTTAGACTATAGAGATGATTGGCACCACTCTGGTCTCCAATCAGCTCTATGGTCAGCTGGCAGAAACACCGGCTGCATTCTCAGGTTCCCCTGATGGCACGGGACTGCCCGAGAAGGCCGTGGAAGGCAGCGGGGGAGGGGCGGGGGCATCATCTCCCACTGCTTGTAAAAGCAATTCTGCAGCTAATTAGCCACTAGGATTGCTTTTACATGAAAGCCGATCGCCGGCTGAAAAAAATTATACCAGGATGATGCCTATAGCTGTAGGCATCATCCTGGTATAACCATTCAAAGTCCAGTGATGTACCAGTATATCGCTGATCCTTGTTGGTTATATATGCTATGTTCTTTTTTTTTTTTGGATGCAGCCTGTGGGCTGAATGAAAAAAAGAGAAGAAATCTCTGCCAGAAAAAGTGTGTGGTATGCCCACCATTAGAATATACCGCCCTGCATCTACCCACTTCTAATGGTGGACACACACTAGGTCACACTTTGCCACAAGCGCCAGTTCCAAGATTGAACAAATGTTTAAATAGTGGCACGCTTGAATAAAAATTGTCCACGTATAAGTGGTACCCCATATGGAAAAAGGATGACGCCAAGTCCCAAACTATCTTGCCACTACTCCCCATGTAGTCTGGGCATCCGGGGGGCTCCACGTGACTAACTTTTCCCCATAAATCCGAAACTTATAAGTATAGCCTGTTGCCCTCTCACAGGTCTTCTACATCTTGACCCCATATCTGGCATGCTTGCTGGGGAGAAATTGTTTGAATGCAAGGCGGCCAGAAAAATTAATAAGGGACTTATCAATGCAGATGTTTTGCTGGGGAGTATAGACATCTGCAAATTTTTGGTTAAGGTGATTTACGAGTGCTGAATTTTGTGGAGCTGGTCAAATTCAGGGTCCCCCCGAGGACGACAGAGTGTATTGTCGTTAAAATGCATAAAACACATTATACTCTCATATCTATGCCTGGCCATGGCAGCAGAGAACACGGCATATGATGAATCGGGTCTGTGGACCAATACAACCGCAATTAATTTCTTTTAGTAATGCCCATGTTGATGGTTAGGCCCAAAAAAAATGTAAATTAGAAAACCGTAATGAGTTTCCATGCGACTGGTCTGGCAAGGTTTGAATTTGGGTTGGCGGCGATAAATTGTTGTGCATATAAATTGCTTTGATCCACAATCAACACATACAGATATTCCGTGAAAAACAGCTAGAAAAATCAAGGGGAGGAGT